CCATGGGCCGGATGGGAGGCAGAGGCGGAGACAGGGGTGGCTTCTCCTCGAGAGGACCGCGGGGATCCAGGGGCGAGAGGACCGCGGGGATCCAGGGGAAACCCCTCCGGAGGGAGCGTCCAGCACCGAGCTGGCGACTGGCAGTGTCCCAATCCGTAAGTATCCTGTGCTGCCCGCGTCTTCCACGCGGTCACAGCGGCTCCGCGTGAGCCCGGCACCTCGGAGGTCGCTCCCGCGTGGCGACGACGGCCGTCTCTCGTCTCGGAGCACCAAGGGGGCCCTTTTGTCCGAGGCGCTGGCTGGGATAAATAGGCCTCTCCTAAAATAACTCGCTGGGCCTTCCGAGGAAGTTCCCGTCCGGAGCAGGGAGGGAGGGCTGGTGTCGCTGCCCGGCTGACTTCCTCCGGGTCCTGCTGACGGGCGTTTGTGTCTCCTCTCCTTGTGCCCTCCCGTTAACGGCCAGGCAGCGCTTCCGAGCGTCGCTGAGCCGGGAATGCCTTCCCGGTCTTCGCTAACTGGCGTTTTTACCCAGGGGATGCGGAAACCAGAACTTCGCCTGGAGAACGGAGTGCAACCAGTGCAAGGCTCCTAAACCGGAAGGGTTTCTTCCGCCCCCTTTCCCCCCTCCAGGTATGGGTGCGGCAGGGTTCACGGCGGGGCTGGAGGCACCCGGGGTTTCCAGCGAGCTGCCCCAAGGCTGGGTTGGGGCTGCTCGGGGAGCGGCCGTTTCCAGCCCCGGGAGCTTCTGGGGCTTTCGTCCCTCCTTCCTTGAGCTGCGAAACGGAGGCTGGGGAACCGCTCTGCCCTCTCCTCCTCCCGCGCTTCCCAGCTCTTCCTGAACTGCCGGGGCTCTCCCTTGGGCCTGTCTGCAGCACTTCGGTTCCCCAAAGCGCCGCTTTCCGCCTCGTTAGGCAGCGCCCTCCTAACGCGCCCCGGCTCTCCCGGCTCTGGGGGAGAAGCTGGGCGAGGTGTGCTGGCTTGCGCTCCCCTGCAGCGTCTGATGCCTTCGGGGTTCCCAACCCCTCCTGGATCTTCTCCCGTTCCTAGTGCCGGAGCTGGGTGTGCCGGGTTCATCGGGGCAGGGTTCGACAGGCCGGAGGAGCCTCCGGCGCGGGCTGGCTCTCCCCTCGGAGCGCCCTGAGAGTCTTCTCCTCTCTCCCAGGCGGAGACCGCGGTAGAGGCGGCCCCGGGGGGGGGGGAGGTGGGCGAGGAGGTGGCCCCTCATGGACCGTGGGGGACCCGGTGGCATGTTCCGAGGCGGCCGCGGTGGAGAGTGAGGCGGATTCAGAGGAGGCCGGGGTATGGATCGAGGTGGCTCCGGAGGAGGCGGACGGCGAGGAGGAGGAGGAGGAGGACCCGGGGGCCCCCCGGGACCCCTGATGGAACAGATGGGAGGCGGAGGCCGAGGCGGACGGCGCGGAGATGGGAGGCGAGGCGGACGGCGCGGAGGGCGGAGGA